GTGTTCCCTGTCTCGCTGTGTCTCTATCAAATAAATAAATAAAACCTTTTTTAAAAATTAGAATTATGAAGGAAGGTTTTTAAGCAAAAAATTTTTTTTCTTGTATTTATACTGTGGTTTATCAAACTTCTTCAGAAACAATCTGTGTTCTCCCTCTCCCTCTGCAGCTCCTCCTGCTCGTGCTCTTGCTCTCTCTCTCGCTCACTCTCAAACGGATGAATAAAATCTTAAAAAAAAAAAAAAAAGCAGCCAACCCAGGTGAGCGGGCAGAACAGTGTTGAGACCGGCATTCGATCCAGCGTCCTCGACAGACACAAGGCGGAGAGCCAAGCGGCTGGCCCCGGAGCCTTGCCCGGCTCCCCAGGTCTGCTCAGGGGAGGCAGCGCACGGGGGGAGAAAGGGTGCCTCATACACGGGAGAGACCATGAACCAGATCGCTCACGCAGGCCGAGATTGGGGCATTGTCTTGCTTTGAAAACCCCCACATTTTATTTTGCTAAAGCTTGCAATTTCTTCTGGGTGAATGGCACTTAAAATCTGTGTGTGATGGAACTGGATTGTATCCAGCTGTCACTCACGCCTCCCGCGCAGCCCAAAAGAGAGCTGGCCATGGGCCACGCAATTCAGGCTCCCACTTCAAATGGGGGGCTGATGCTCCTGTTCCCACCAGACTCTGCCCGAATGATTTCACTTGTGACACAAAGGGGGCTTGGACAGGGGCTTGGGCTCAGGGAAGGGCCACGTGGCCAAGAAGTGGTGCATGCATGTCAAATGTCAAGCCAGTGACGTCCATGGAGGGTGGGCTGCCCGCTTGCCCAGCGGAGGCCACAGTCATCAAGGACACGGCCTCAAGTGACTTTTCCAAGGCACTCACCTGACAAGGATTTCCTGGGCCCTGCTGGAGACAGTGACCGCCACTTCCCGCCGACCGGAAGCACCTAACAGCAGCCACGTGAGACAGGATGCAGAGGCACACACGTGAAAGGGGAGGAAAAAGTGCATTCAACCCAGATCGCTTCTAAGACCATAAGAGCAAAAGAGCACATTTTAGTCGTGCCAGCTGTTAGCACGGGCAGATGAAGGTGGATGCATTCATTTAACAACACAGCTGGGAAAAAGTCACTCATTTAAATTATTCCCTATACACCTGAATTCCCTATACACCTGTCAGTTAAATTCTGGCCCAGCAACGGTCAGGGGCCACCTACCTACCTGGGACCTGCCTAAGGGACAGCACTTCTGTGACAGTGAGCCACGAGGGAGTCTGATCCAGACTGACTCCTCTTTGAGCCTTTAAAGCAAGAACAACACACAGCAGCTGATCCTCGAGGAAAGCCAGGAGGAGACTGCGTTCAGAGGAAGCATGCCCAACCTGGGGCCCCAAGCAGAGGCCCATTTCCTGGGCTCCCGAGTGCTTTCCGCTGCCCAGAGGCCCTTCGGGCAGGTGTGGTCTACAGGACTACATACGGGAGCCTGTTAGCCGATAGAGGTGGGAAACCTTTGTGGGGGGTGATTGCCTAGGGTTTCCGGTCCTGAAAGATTGTCCTGGGCCCAGGAGAGCAGAGCAGGAAGCAGGTCCACTGGAGGTCGAGCTGGTCTTTGATTATGGGGGGCCAGGACAAAGTGGTGAGGACTCAAACGGAGAGCCAGGCGGCGGTGGGGACAGGATGTTGGGGAGAGGAGACTCTTGTTGCTGGCGTGGGGGTGGGGGGTGATGGGAGGGAGGTGTGCAGGGTGGTGGCCACGTTTCTGGCTTTGGCAACGGGGTAGGCAGCAGGCCCCCAGCCATGGTGGGACACACTAAGAGGACGCAAATAAATGTTGAGCCAAGAACTTGCCAGTAGGATACCCAGGAAAAGCAGTTCAGCAGATTACAGTGCTCAGGCAGTGAGATGTATTGGTCGGAGTTGACGGATATTGATGGAGTTGACCACGAGAAAGGAGCAGAGAGCAAGCTCAGGCTTGGCTGAGGGGGACAGTGGCTGGGGGTGGGGGGACAGAGACAAGGGGCTTTTTTAGGATGGCAGACACATGAACATGTCATGAGAGAAGGCGCAGACACATCCGCAGAGGGGTAGAAGAGGCTGGCCTCAAGAGCGCAGGTGGGGTACCAGCCCTGCCGAGGGGGGACATCTTCTGGTGTCTATGGTCTGCAGCAGTCCCCACAAGGTTGAGGGTAAGTCTTCCGTCTATACCTCTGGCTGCCTTCCTAGGCTCCCACCCCTGCTGACCCCTCCATACGAAAACCATTAGATCAGAACCAGCCCCCCAGGAACAGGAGAGATGCACACTCTCAGGCCCCAGCCCACCTGCTGAATCAGACTGGGCGGGGGATGGGGCCCAGAGACGTGGGTGTTGGAACGATCCCCTGGAGATTCTGATGCTCGCTCTCATTTGAGGCACGGGACCAGAATAGCACCTCTCTGCACTGGCTGCCCAGGAGAATCACATGGAAAGGTTTTAAATGCCGATGCCCAAGCCTCTCCCCCAGATTCCAATTTCATTCATATTAGTCCTAAATAACTCGTCCAGCTGATTCTGCCGCTCCATGGAGTGCTGGAAGCATCAGGTTAGGGGGAGAAAGGAGCAGATGGAGACGGAGAGAAGGTGGTTCCTCGTGCTTTGTTTTATTTTGGAGTGGGAGGGGATTCCTGTAGTGGGATTAGAAACCATTTGCCAAGAGTAAGTGGCACACAGGGAGGAGAGTCAACGTGTTTGGAATAACCAGTGAAGCGGCTGGGAGAGGCACCGATCTCAAGGGCAAGCAGAGCTAAAAAAGACAGGCAGCTAGCTGGTCCAGACACAGGTCAGGGAGGAGCAGGATGCAGCGACTGCAGGGGCTTCGAGGAGAGTGCAGCAGGGGCCCCTCCAAGCACGCAGGTGGTTGAAGGGGGGGCCGGGGTAAAACCACACTGCCGAGCAGCTACCAAGTGCCCCCCAGAGCTCGTTCTAGCCATGTCCTGTCTCCACCAAGATTGTGCGCACTACCAAGACTCAAGGCAGGGATTAGTGCTCTGGCCTTTCTCTGGGCTGGAGGGCACGCTGGCTGCCACAATGATCCCAGCTGGTTCCGGGGGGCGGGGGGGCAAACATTGGGACGTTTCTGAATCCCAAGACTCCAAGCTTATGGCTCTCCTACATCGCACACCTGTGATTCTCCCTCCGTTCCCGTTCCAGTAACATGCACATTCCTCAGGCCTGGCTGCATGGCTGGGGGGGGGGTGCATCTGTCACCCACCTGCGTCTCTGGTACTGATTGGCCCTGCCACTCACCCGCCCACCCAAGCCAGGAGCTGTCTTACCCCACCCCGGACCTTCCACTTGTTACCTCTCCTCTTGATTCCGCCTCCAAATACCCAGGTGACCCCACCTCCCAACTGCTCTGCCGACGTCAGCTCCGGGCCGGAGCAATGGTTGGCTGGTTTGTGGACTGGTCATCCTCACCCGTCTTCTCCCTCCTCCTCGGCCTCCTGGGCCTTCACGCACTGCTGTCAGCCTCCAGAGTTTAAAGCCCAAATCAGACCTTGTCAACTATTGCTAAAAATAATGCAGGAGCTCGCAGGAACTCTCAACGTACAGAGGCCGACAAATTGTGGTCCATGCTTCAATTATCAACCAAAACATACCCTGTGCTTTGTCAGGGACCCTCAAGTGAGCCTGGCCTGGCTGGTGCCACCGGAGAGCCCTGCCACACCCTCGTCGTGGTTCCCACCCAGAGCACCCAGTCCCGGCCTGGAGACCACAGGCTGCCTGAGAAACGTAGCCTTGTTCTTCTTTACGTGTACCCAGCACCACGACTGAGTGAAAAAGTTTGGAAAAGTAACCACCAGAAGGCCGTGGTCCTGCCTGCATGACCACTGTGCCCCGGGGCTGAAGGGGGTCCCCAACCTACCACTGCCCAGCCTGATTCAGACACTGTGGACACGAGCTTGGCTTGCCACCCCAAACCCTCCCACCCCACCGGGCACTCCATTTGTTTGGGTCCAGGTATGGCCTCACCTCACCTGTTCCTACTTTGCTGTCTGGCCAAGCGCCCACGGTGACGGGGCAGAGTCCCCAGGTTTGAGGGGCACGACTGGGTGGGAGCTCAGAGACACTGAAGGGCAGAGGGAAGGAGCAGTGGGACTTGGGGGGCAGGCCTGCCCAGTGGTGCCCGTGGAGTATTCGGAACAGAACCCACCCCCTGGAAACCTGCCGCTGCCCAGGGCTGCTTTCGCTTCCGTCTCCCACTCAAGGGTGCTGCTCTGGCCAAACGGAACCTCCCTGTCACGGGCATTCCTGCAGGGACCTACTGCCCCTGTTGCCCTCACCCAACTTGGAGGACACGTTATCAGCCATACCCTGACCCGCCCACTCAGCAGATGGCCCGGCCTGACAAGACCGGAACATTCCCCAGGAGCCCAAATTGAGTTCCTGTGTGGGCCCTGAGTTGTAGTCTTGCTCACCACGCCCTCCAACGTGCGGCGGGAGACGCAGCGAGCCGTCTGCTCGGGTCAGCAGGGGCTGAAGGCGGGTGCGAAGCGCATGGCCACACCTGCTCCCGGTGGTGCACCTCCAAGCTGGGAGGGTCTCACACCGGAGCCTGGGTTGTTCTTGCTGACTGTGAGGAAAACTCATAGTTTAGTAACACCTACCATTTCCCTCTCACTTTCCCTGTGGAAACCCCAATGTTATTCAGTAAAAAAACTCAAACAGCAAGCCTCAGTGGAACATGGTTTCCAAGTTTCCTCAACACAGTACTCATTGCGAATCACCCACCAAGCTCCGCGGGCCACTTCAAAGGGTCCCTCTGTCTTCTTAAATTCAAATGAATGTATTTATTAATACATTTAAATAAATCTCTTTATTCCTCTTTATCCTTAAGGAAGACCTGCTCCAAACTTTCCCACGTACTGACGGGTTACCCGAAAGTGCACCATGGGGAACCCTTCAGCTGAACTGGGCGCTGGGATGCGAACTCCTAAAAATCAAAGGGAAAAACACAAAGACATAGGCAGGGCTCACAAAAACCTGTTTTATTGCACCAGGATCTTGGCAACATCGGGGGCACCTCAGCCCCTGGAGCGGAGGCACAGTGCACGGGGACGTGGTGGGCTAAGCCCACCGGGAAAAGGCAGGTGAGTGAGGCCACACGGGACCACGGGGAGAGGCGACCCCCCCAACACAAAGTTAAATTAAACCCACGTTCTAAGTCAACCAAGTGACTGCTATTATAAAATCTTTCGTTATTTATATATATTTATATATTTACATGTCCCCCAGAGTTTGGACTGATTTTCTGGGCCCATCCTTTCCCTTCCCAGTTTGGCCGATGGCCGGGTGTGGGAGGGAAGGGCTCGCCCCTACGGAACAGTGACAAATGCTGCCAACAGTCAGGCCAGGGCTCAGCACCGCCCAAGACACGGCGGGCATGTTTTCCTCAGGAAAAGGTTTCATAATTACATAGTGAAAAGGGAAGAACCTGGTTTGAAGAGGAGGGAGCAAGAAAAGAGATGAACTCTGTGCTGCAGACAACAACTTCCCTTTTCAACTGCAGAACGTTACAGAAAAATAGGGCCATACAGGAATGAAGGTCAACACCAAAAGAGGAAAAAAAAAATGCCCTGTCCATAAAGGCACCTGCCTTCCCTCCCGAAGTGGCAGATGACAAAGCCACAGGGCACTAGGGGTTGCTGGGGGGGAGGGGGAGAGGGGGGACACGACCCTCATCTTTGAACAAGGTGTGGTTAACAGAGAAATCTGTCCTCTGAGAAAAGAGCAAAAGGCTCCCAGACCGGCGGATGCAGCCAGTGCTCTGCTCACCTCCTGCTGGGACCAGAGGCAGCCCCAGTTTGGGCCATGGGCATCATCATTCTCCCCACCTTTTTCAAAGAGAAATGTAAGAACAGGAAGAAAAATCAAAAAGAACTACCTACGTGAAAAAATTAACATATCTCCCCACCCCCACCCTGAAAATGGAACACTTTTTTCTGATCCCCCCCCCAGGCCCCAGAGCAAGCCGCAAGGCTCGGGTGGCAAGGGGTGCCAGACGGGGCCATCGGTGGGCCTCAGGCCACGAAGAGCCACCGTGGAGGACGGACGTCCACATCAGACGTCAGTCCCTCTCTGCGTGTGGCGTTCTGGAGAAGAGGAAGTGGAGACGTACATCCACGGAGTCACTTTCGGATTGACCTCTGTACCTTCTGCTACTGGGTCGTGTGTCTGTTCTCCGGAAAATGTCACCTTAACTGAGGGTTTCTGTATTTATTAAATTACAAGTTCGCAGGCACAGCTTGAGCAAGATAAAAAAGTGATCTTCTTGAGTCATACAATCATCTAAATTCAAAAGCACTCACAAAATGGAGCAAATAAAGCCAGTATTGGGTATCAGGGAAAGGAAACGTATTGCTAACGGAAGCCACAGACCTGGTCAAAATGCGTGTCTCTAATAAGTAGTAAAATAAAAGGATTCTACCCCAAGACCACCACCTCGATACAGACCCGCGGGCCGCTGTAGCTGCAGGGAAGGAATGGCAAGGCCACCTGGGGATCGACAGCCGCTGGAAAGGCAGGGGAGTCAGCACGCCGTCTCACGGCCCCACCCCAAGAGCCGTCTCTCTCCAGAGATGGGCTAGGGCCTCTTGCAAGGGAGGGACGCACTGGCAGGGCCGCCCCCCAATTCCAGAAAAGGGAGAGGTGAGGTGCGGGGCGGCCTCGGCTTCCTTTCTGAGGGGAACACGTAAGGCATACAGAGTCCCTGCCCCGCGGAAATGGGGACGGCAGGACCGGAGGGCGGTGCCGGCCGCCAGCAGCAGGGGACAGATGGCTCCCGAGACGAGCCCAGCGCACTCGATCACCCTGAGGGCGCTCGCTCACTCGAGGATGTGCCGGGAGGGCTGCGGCCGCCGTGTCCCCTGCTCTCGGCCACAGACCACACGCACCGCTGTCCAGGTTCCCGGCCAGCGCGCTGCCACCTGCTCTCCGCGTCACCGTGGGGCTTTTCACGGTGCGTGAGGTGACGCCCGAGGTCCCGTCCTCCTGCAGCTGGCTCACAGCGTGGGCCTGGCAGCGACGGGGCAGCGGGGTCCTCAGCAAGGCCGCTCTTCAGTTCAGACGGACAGGGCCCAGGAAGGGACACCTCGTCTCCCGAGGCTGTGGGGCACAGGACGTTGCTCCTGAAGAGAGGGAGACCCTGGGAGTCCCGCCATCCCTGGAGTGCGCGTCCGCACGGACGACACGCACCATTAGATGGCGCTCTGAAAACACCTGGTCCTGCCCCACACGTTCCACACCACACACGCACACACCCCCCACACACATGCACTAGACACCCCCCACACCCCCCCCCACATTGAAATACAAACCGCACACTAACACACCCCTACACCTCCCCCACACTAACCCATCTGACAGCAGCAGAGTCAGCGGCGGTAGCTGAGGCTGGTAGCCTTAGCTGGATGAGTCACAGACCAAAAGTTCCGTCTACTCTGAAGTTTCTGGAAGGCGTTGTATGTTCTTTTCTTCTCTCTTTTGAACTTTTTCACTTTCTTTTCCTACATAAAGAAACCCCAGGCGTCACAATTCCCGAAAAGGGCTCTCCCCTGGTCCCTGTGGCTCCTCGTGAAGGCTTGTTGGGTGGGGGACACGAGTCTGAATTTGCTACAGAACCAACCAGCTTACTCTTCACGTGGCCTGAGGGAGGTGTCCCCACTGTCCCCACCTTGCTGAAGAAGGAACAAAGCAACCGCACATTTACGGTGGGCCTCCGAGCCCAGCAGCCCGCCTCCCGTTGTTGTACTTGACCACTTTACAATGTCGCTGCCACTTCAAACTGCCCCAAAGGGTCAAGTCCTCCCTGCCCGGCCCTCGGCGGGGCCACCGTGAGTGCCCTGTCACGCCAGCCTCAAGTGCACCCCATACCTTCCCTCGATCGAACTCTTCATCCCAGTCGTCGACCACCGTGGCGGCGCGGGCCCATCTGCTGTCCCGAATGGCATCCTGACTGACAGCCGACACCTCGCCGCCCCATGTCAACACTACAAAGCAGACACTGAGCGTCGGCACCTTTGTGCACTTGCTTCCAGAATGGTGTTTACGACCCAGACTGGCCTACTCCTGACACATTCAGCATGTTCGAGGGCCACCTTCCGGTGAAATGGACCATGCAGAGAGGGATGAGGGAGGGCAGAGTGGTCTCCAGCGTGCAGGACAGTGGTCCGTCCCTTAAGCGCAAACGTTGTTAGCTCTGTACCACCAGCCCCCCAGTTTAGTTCCTTTCAAACCTGTGCCCTCACCTGAGAGACAAAGGTCTCACGTTCTTTCTCTGAGACCAAGAACGTACAGCTGCGGTGCTGGGTGATTCCCATCCACGCCCTTCCCAAGCCGGCCCACGCCACCCAGAGGCCCAAGATCTGTTCTCCCCGCCTCTGCTCACACCCCCGGGGAGGCAGCATTCTGGATCCTCCCACAGGGACTGGTTCTGGACTTTGTGCAACGGCTGCAGCTCAGGGAGGATCACGGCTGACATTCCTCTACCCGTCCGTAAAGCCCAGTGACTCCCCCGCCCCAGGATCATGACACAGCGGGTCCACTTCAGACCTCTGCGGCCCGATGAGTGAACCGTAGGACAGAAGTCCATGCTCGAAACCAGTACCTTTCCTCCCGTAAGCTTTATCTGACGAATACTTGAGCAGTTCCTGGAGCACGTCGGACTCCCTCTCTCTGCTCCAGGACACAAGAGGAGCCGGGGCCTGCCCTGCAATCAGAGAACCGCTTACATACGTTCACCTCGGACGAGGTACTTGATTACTTCTCGAGAGGGGCTACCGTCCAAATCAACTGCTGGAAACGACTAAAAACCCACCCCCCAAACAAGACTGAAAACTTGCAAGCAGCAGCGTGAGCCCTCGGTCTGATGCAGGACAGGTGAGACGGAGCTCCGGGGGGAACCCGCCCCTCCCACAGGGAGATGGCCAGAAACGAGATATGGCGGGAACTGGCGGGAATGGCCAAGTGCTGCTGTCACCACAGCTTCTGGGGAGGCTGCCTCCCAGCCGCATCCTGGAAGAGCCTGGCCACCGAGGACAGCTGCATGGTGACAGCAGAGACCACCCTCCTCAGGCTTCTAGAAACTTCTGCCTGGCCCCCTCTAACCATCTACAACTGCTGGAACGCACTCCCCTCCCTCAGCACAAGCCTGCCCTTGCTCTCCAGGCCTCCAATTTATCAATGACGCTGTGACCTTCAAGCCCGGTCCCTGCCGCCCTCTCCAGCCTCTTGCCCTTCGCTCCACAGCATCGCCCGGCCCAGTGGTCAGGCAGGGCCACCCACATCGCTCTCTCCATCTCTTGGCTGTGAATGCCCTTCCCCACAGAGCCAGCTCTTCCGATCATCAGGATGGAGAGCAAACAGAGCAGGGGCTGGGCCACCGCAGCCCTAGCACCTGCACCGGGCAGTGGGTCGGGAGGCCATCTGGTCAGTGTGCCAACAAAGCCAGCCCCGCGGTCTGATGACCACCGCCAGCCTGCTCTGTCACCACCTTTGAGGAGCCTTTCTTCCAACGTGCTGGCCGCCCTCCTCATTCCCCAGCGGTAGTGTTTTCTCATGGGTTTTTTTTTTTTTTAAGACTTGAGAGAGAGAGAGAGAGAGACAGCACAAGCGGGAGGGGCAGAGGGAGAGGGAGAGAGAGAATCCCAAGCAGACTGCGTGCCGAGCCTGGAGCCCAACGTGGGGCTCGATTCCAGGCCCCTGAGATCATGACCTGAGCCGAAACTAAGAGTTGGATGCTTAACCGACTGCACCACCCAGGCTCCCCTTGTCATGGGATTAATGTTGAGTCACAGACTCATCTATCAGGAGTCTGACAAACATAAACTATCCCCAGCAGCCTGTTCACCCCCAAAAGCACAAACATAACTGGATCCCCAGGCTGCAGAGCAGACCTCACAGAATCTGCCGCCATGCCGGATCCCTTCCCAAGCAGGTGTGACCTTCTCTCCCCTTCGCTAATGGACATGCTGTATCAGGACAGCCCAGTCGAGCCTGGCCAGCCCTGAAGGAAACAGAACCAGGAGAAGTCGCTTAGCCATGGGCAACCCAAGCCCTGGGGAACAGCCGAAGCGCTGGGAACCCCAAAGGCAAGAGACCACATTGTCTTCAGAAAGGCCCAACTTGTGGTGCCTGGGTGGCTCAGCAGGTTAAGCATCTCCCTTCGGCTCAGGTCATGATCCCGGGGTCCTGGGATCGAGCCCCGCATCGGGCTCCCTGCTCAGCGGCAAGTCTGCTTCTCCCTCTCCCTCTGCTGCTGCTCTCTCAAATAAATAAAATCTTAAACAAAACAAAAACAGCCTAACTACAAAAACAGGCAGAGAAAGGTTAACTTCTGAACCCGACCTTTCAAGTTCAAGAATCACAAAAAATCTCCAGGCTGAATGGACCTAAGTTTTTAGGGAAAAGTTTAGGCAGAAGAGCCTTGAATCAGAAGAAACACTGTATTCCGAGAATACGTAAGAGTGGTTTGGGCTAACTGCTTTGCCAGATGGGGAAGCTGCGACCCACAGGGCAGACAGCCTGCCCAAGGGGACAGACTGAGGGCAGAGCTGGGCACAGGTGTGCTCGTGGGTGCCCCCCTCCGGCGCATACACCTATGCGGTCCCCGGGCCCAGCCCCCTGCTCCTCGCGGGCGCATACCTGCTCCGTCCCCGGGACGCCTGCCGTTCACAGGCGGGGAGGGCGGGCTCCCAGGGAGAGCAGAGCCCCTCTGCCTCTCGCCCCTGCAGGCTTCAGGGTGCTCATTCTCTTCTACTTCCTGCCATGACTCCTGCTGTCTTTTTTTCCTTTTCTTTTTCCTCGGAGATGCCACCGTGGCCTCTAGCTCGACGACGTCCAAGGGAGAGCAGCTCCTGGGAAGTCAGAGTCCAACAGTCAGCTCCGGGCAAACTGAGGGTGAGAGTGGGGTTCAGGTCGATACCCCGGAACTCCCAACTGGCACGTGCCACAAGCCCGCAGAAGAGCCACCCCAAGAACACCCCGCAGACGGGAGCAGGACAAAGCACGCCAGCTTCCGGGGCGACAGTCAAGCCTGAGAGAAAAGCCCACAACCGCACCTAACCTGGGCGAGTCGTCCAGGCCAGATGACGCGGCTGCAGCGCCTCCCGACCCGGGGGCACGTGGCCACCTGCACACTCACTGCCGTCCACTCACATGCCCGTCGAGACACGTAAGGACGCGGTCCTGTCCTGGAAGGCTGGCCAGCGCACTGGGGTTCCAGACCCCCCACCGGGGACGGGCCGCGCATCGCTGGGGGAGGTGCCGGGCGGCCTGGCTCCCGCTCTCACCTGTGCCACGGCGGGTCCTGCGGGAGGCAGTCTTCCGCACCGAGGCCCTCCGCTCCCTTCCGTCTCCTCTTCCTGTTGCTCCCGGGGCGGCCGTCGGTCCCGCTCCCCCCCAGCCGGCCATTCTCTTGCTGCCGTCCGCCCTGGTCCTCCAGTCTGTCGGCGGGCACCTCTGCCCGGGGCTCTGTCCTGCGCTCGAGGTGCCAGTGCTGCCCCTGCATCTGCCCCTCCTGCGGGGGGGAGGCGTCCACGGCCCCCGCGCGCTTCCTCTTCTTCCTTCTCCTCTTCGCCGGACAGGCTGCCGCTGCTGCGCTCGTCTCTGAGCGCTGCCCCTGGCTCTCTCCCCTGCGGTTCCTTTTCCTCTTCTTACCGAGGCTCTGGGGGGACCTGCTGGCCTCTGGCAGCTGGTGTGAAGGGGCCTGGGAGCCCCCATTGACCTGAGGCAGGAGAGCAGAGGCGGGGGAGCAGCTCTGTGGGTCTGACGTCCCGGGAGGTCGGGGGCTACTGGACAGTGACGCGGAGCGGGCACCGACGGGGAGCTTCAGGTGGCTGGATGGTGGGGGAGCAGGTGAAAGCGCCCTGTGGGGACACGCTGCTCTGACGCACAGGCAGGCCCCTCCTGCCCGCCCACAGCCCCCTGCCCGCGCAGGTGAGGATTTCCCATGGTCCTCCCCCGCCCCCCGTGTGAATCTCAGGTACGCGTAAATTCCACTGACTTAAAAAAGCGGAAAACAACAAAATCCAAATTTACTGAAAATCAAAGTAACCAAAAATCAGAACCTTTTAGTTTCCTGTCACCAAGCAGTTCAAGGTATTTTTCCAAACTTGCATTACTATCTTTCTTAAAAGATTTATTTATTTTAGAGAAAGAGAGCGAGAGAGCATGCATGTGAGCAGGGGAAGGGCACAGGGAGAGAGGAGAGGAGAGGAATCTCAAGCGGACTCCCCGCTGAGAACGGAGCCCGACGCGGGGCTCGATCTCACAACCCTGAGATCATGACCTGAGCTGAAATCAAGCGTCGGCCGCCCCACTGTGCCACCCAGGCGCCCCTAACTAACGTTACTACTTTCCAACACGAGTCTGTTACGAGAAACTTCTCTGAATTTGCCCACAAGCCCCAAGGTGTTCACACCCGTGACACCAGCCTTGCGAGGAGGGCCAGCGCAGGCCTGTACATCGTGCACTAGGATCCCCCTCTGATCTGGGGGCTCCGGACAATCAGCTGATCACACAGCGGGACAAGGAAGGGGCGGGACTGGGAGCTCCCTCAGGTTAGGCTCTCTGACCCGCCTCCCGCCAGCGATGTGACCTTGCAAGAGTTAACCTTCTGCTCTAAGCCTCACTCTCCTCCTTCGTGACCGAGTGACCATAATGCCGACCTCAAAAGGTTATGGAATCAAACAGGACTACCGTTACGAAACCAGGACAGACACCTACACAAACCGCTCTACCACTCCGTTTACCGTCTTCTGGGAAGTTTTAAAAAAAAGTCTCTATGTCAAAAAAGGAAAAAAAAAAACCCCGCAGTAAATACCTGGCACGCTTAAAGACCTTCCACATGCAAAAATATTGTGCTGGGTCCAGGCCGACTGTGAGGGTGGGAGAGGCCGGGTGATGGGAGCGTGAACCCAGCACCCAGCCCGGAGCGGCCGAGGGTGGGGAGGACACATCAGCGCCCAAACCACCCAAACCACCTCCTGGCTTCGCCCAGCTTCCTTCCTCCCTCCCTCCCCAGCTGCCAGGGGCTCCGTCAGCCACCGGGCAAGCGTCAGTAACTCAGCTGTCTGCTACTCAACACCCCAAGGGATATAAGCACCCCGTGTGTCACGGGACGGGAGGTGCGCCTGTTGGGGAGCCTGAACAGGGCTCCCAGAGAACCACACCTCCCCGCTCTGGACGGCCGCCCGAAGCTCCAGAAGCCAGTGCGAGGGGACAGCCAGGGGAAGCCCATGCACGGAGGCTCTGTGCAGGGCTAAGGAGTCTGAGGAGAACCCGGGGAGCACTGGTGGGAGATACAGAATGATCCTGGCAGCAAGACACCCCTCGGCGGGGTCACAGGACTCTGGGTTCACGCAGGGTCCTTCTGGGACTCCTGCCCTTCTCTTCTACTCTGGAGTCCTGTCACGAGACTGGGGAGGGACCCAGGGCACATCCCCATCCCCGCATGGACATAGCAGGTGGGTGGAAAATGAAGACAAAAGTGAAAAGATCAGGACTGCAGAGACCAGGCTGCCTCTGACCAGCCGGAGCTCCTCTACTGGATGGAGAGAGAGAAAACAAGAAGAAGTCGGTGCAGGATCCACCCTGTACCTGTCCAGCCGCACACCACTGTCCATCCCGCAAGGCTGGAGACCATGTGCATCTTCGCCAGCCAAGCACACGCTAAGCACAGGGGAGGAGCGGCCGGCCCGGGGGGCCTGCGCCCGCGGCTCACCTGATTGCACAGACAGGCCAGGAGGAGGCGGCGACAGGGTGAGTGGTTTTCCTGGGGTAGGTGAGGTCGGACAGTGGTGAGAGGGGTGGACGGAGGTCATTGTCGGCTGCCCTCCGCAGGGTGCTGGCCTGCAGTTATTGACATAAATAAAAACTTGGTGGTCTAAAAGAGGTTGCCGTGAGTGAAGAGGGAAAATAAAAATAAAAAAAAAAAATAAAATAAAAATAAAAGAGCCCAGAAAGGAGGATGAGGGGACAGAAGGAGAAAAAAAAGGGGGGAGGTGGGGGAGGGGAATGGTAGAAGAAGAATCAGAAGTGTTTTTGGTTAGAAACAAAAAGGAAAAAAGGAAGGAGATTTAAACAAAAATCTCAGCATAGTTACATCATCGAGCTTCGTGCCGCACACAGAGGTGCCAGCCAGCCCGTGTCTTGTGCGCCCCCCGCGCTTGGATTCCCTGCCAAGCCCACCGCACCTGCCCTGTCTTCCCCTTGAGGCTTCTTTAGGAGATTCTGTCTATGGACAAATATGGGGACCTGCCGCCTCTCCCCAACCCCCAGCAGCTGTATGGAGTGTGTATCACATCGGGGTCCCCCAAACTCCGCCTCGGCCCCAGGACAGCCCTGTGTAGTCTGCAAATGCCTACAACTTCGTTGCCCTGATCGGGGGAGGCCAAAGGCCTCGACACAATTCCCCCACTCTCCCCAGACTAAAACCAAACCTGCTCTGTGAGCCCTAGAGACACACTTCCGGCGGGCAGACTCCCACACACCCACCTTCTTGGCAGAAAGGGCCAGTTTTTTGGCTGGTGGAGGAGACATGATGTTTGCGGGCTCGGTGGTGGTGCTGCTCAGGACAGGGGACTTGGGCTTCACCACCTTGGGGTCGTCTCCATCCGGCAGCGCTCTGGAGTGTGTTCCCTGAGAGTCCCCCAAGTGGGCCACTCTGCTCCTGGGTGTCTGGGGGGCCTTGGTGGGGTCATTGCTGGCGGAGTGCTCTGGGCTGGAGCTGCTGGAATCCCTCCCATCGAGCTCGGGGCTCTCGCCACCTGCCTTGGGCCCATGCCCGTTGGCAGTCACTCTGGCCGGGAGCCTGGGTGAGGTGGACAGAGCAGCACCCTTGCTGTCCCAGGAGCCCTGCCTGAGGCTCTCACTCCTGCTTCCGCTCCCGTTGCTGGTCCCATGGGACCCCCGAGAAGCTTTGCGTGACGGGGAGAGGTGCTGCAGGGGCGTCGACTTCTTAACTCTCTTTCCAGGCTCATCCAGAACGGTTGGTGCGTGGGGGGGTGTTTTGGAGAGTCGGGGGGAAGGGGCCCCCACGGGTGGCTTTGGAGGAACGTATCCATTCTGAGACTTCAGACCCGACACGGAGCCGTTCCTGGAAATGGGCACGCCAAGCTCCTCAGTGGCCGGCAGCTTCTTCATTGGCACAGAGTCCAGTCGCTGGAGGAGAGCAGAGGACACGATCACACCCTGGAGGGAGTGCAGGCTGGCGGTTCCCACACAAGGTCAGAGCACCTTCTGCAGCAGGCAGGGTCTCTGCCAGGCAACTCAAGACAGATTATCTACATGGACACACGGTAAAGACACTGCTTCTTCTTTGAACACTTTCAGTATTCTCTGGGTTGGGTACATGGGGGTGTGTATCTTTACGGTCACCTTTACTCAAAGCAGGATGTTTTCATCACGAGTGAAGAAATACAAAAAAGTATAAAGTAAAAAAAAAAGTACCAGAGTTCCACCCACTGCCCAAACGAAGTGCACCTTCTGTTTGGCCCTGATCTCCGGGACGGCTCTGGCCTGCAGAGGTGCGCCCAGTTCCACCTACGCACTGCCTGAAGCATCGTCCTGCGCACCTGGCGAAGGTCTTTAACGTGTGACCAGCACCCGCCTCGCTGCGTGAAGTTTCTACAACCTGCACCGTCTCCAGCTGCCGCGGAAATGAGCAGCGCCCGACCAAGCACCCCATCCTTCTCCTCCCCAGACTCCTCACTGCCGGGTCTGAATCGTTGGCTCTGTTTAAATGCTCTGCACGGCCCAGGTCTGTGCTGCTCCCCATTCCTGCCTCCTGACTAGTACGGGGTCTTCTAGAGTCAGAGCTTAACAACCACCTGATTGGTTGCTGAACATTTCCATGAACGAACAACCAACAGACTAAACCTTTTTCCCTACTTGGGAAATTCCCCGCTCGTGTTCGGGAATGGTTACCAGGCTATGGATGCTTCCACGGATGCTGATGCACCCTGTGCAGGGCACTCGCTAGCGGTACTCTCACCGGCAACAAGCAGCTCTTTTTCAAAATCTTTGCTAATTCAACACCATTGCTGGCTCTTACTACATTAACCCTAACACCCTGTGATCTGAGCTCATCCGGACGAGCCCCTCGTGTACTAGAAACATGAACCTTTTGTTGTACTTGCTGCAAATATTTTTAGAAGTTTTTTTATTTCTAATATTCCACACACAGAAACTCAAATTTTAATTTATCCAATTTATTGTTTGTTTTTCTATACTTTCTGTCTTACAGTCTTCTCTCTTCTGGAGGCTTGCTGAGAATTCACTTCTACTTTCCTCCAAGTTTCTTCTTCTCTTTTCCCTACGTTTAAAAATAACTTACCCTTTACTTACATTCTCTCTAAAGAGAACGCATCTTCCTGCTGCACTCAGACCTTCTCGTTGGACGTTTAAGTCTGTGGAAGCGACCGCAGTATGTGTGGTACGTTACCTCTGTGGTGCGAATGTGGCTGGCCAGCAGTGTGGCCCCGTGGTACCAACCCCTGGCCTGGGCCACGGTGACAACCCCCCTGGCCATCAGGCCGTGGCTTTGCCTTGCCACGTCAACCCCAATGCCTCTATTTCTCACATGTTGGAAGGGAAAGGCAGATCTGCGTAAGGACCAACGCGCTGTGGACCGTGAAGGCCCCACAGCCTGCGTTCAGATGTGACCTTCAGACTGAAGGGGAAGGATGACAAACGCAGTCAGCAGAAAGGACCGACCTGTTTTTGAGTTATGAACTGTGTTGTAGTAAGGAAATTGCTCACTACTCTGCTAATAAAATTGATCTGTAGTAGAAAAATTCAAATATACACAAAAATAACTTGAAAACGAGGGTATTTCCCAATCGCTAACATTTTCCCACATTAGCTTTCTCGCTCACTCACTCCACGTATGTGTGTCTACGCATGTATGTGTGACGTTTCTTTTCCTAAGCATCTGAATATATTTTAGACACAACGTCCCTTTACTCCTAAATATGTCCGTGTATATTCCTAAGAACAAAGATGTTTTAACATAACCACAGCATAATTATCAAAAGCAGGAGATTAACACTGCTAGAAACTGTCCACGTTTTCAATACTGAATTGTGAGGATAGAAAGCACTTCTCCCCAGATGCTTCAGGTCGAGGGTGCACGGCAGCTGGCCTAGGACACGGGCACGCCGAGTTACTGTCTGATCTGCTCGCTGGGTCAGGCTTTCTCATCACTGTCCCTCCTCCTCCCCCAATGTCAGCTCGCGACCAATTTGAGAGAGAACATGGAATAAAACAGGACACACGGAGCTCTCCCTCCTTCGGGCTAAGTTCCCGAGCATGAAGAGGTCTGGGGGGGCTCCATGGTCCCGAGAGGCACAGGCAGGAAGGATCCTTTGAAACACGTACCTTCCCAGTCAGCGGGGAGCCAACGGCCCCGTTGCCAATGTTCTTCTTCAAGTGGTCTGGAACCACGCCTGGACGGCCAGGAACGGAGGAGACAGTCCTGGAGAGGGAGCCGTCAGGACTCTTCTTCGAGCCTGGAATTCTGTGGAAGGAAGGGAACCAGTCGGGGATGTCTTACTGAAGCCCCAGAGGCGCCCCAGAGAGAACCCCGATGCCCGAGCGTGCTTCTCTGAATTCCCACGCTGCCCCCACAACAATGTGGGCTTGTCACAGAGCCTCGGGGATCTGCTCAGCATGAACAGAGAGCCCAGCAGAGGCGGAACCTTCCAAGACTAGACTCTCGCTTTTACCAGGAAGCCAGAGACCCCTCAGTCACTGCGCCCAAATTCAGCCGAACAGCCACAAAGCAGCAAAAATGCCTCCAGTCTCCACATCCTCCAACCTCCAGGTCGGTGACAACCGGCCCCAAGAGAAGGTGCCCGGCTGCGGCCTCTACTCCCTGACAGGTTCCTTCGCTGCCCAGAGGAAGGTGCATGAGCAAGCCAACGCCCACACACATCTCATCTGGGGCAACAGGCAAGAAGAAGAGGTAACTTTCCCGTTTCTACTCAAAGTCAGCTCGGTGTGGAGCATGCAGATGGAATCGTGCTCGGACCTTCCCAGAGGCGCTGGCTGTTCCTCAGCAGTGGGCTGGCCTGGTCTAGAGGAGCGCTTCCCTGTGGACACCCCCCGCCCCAACCCCGGTGAGCTCTCCATTATGTGCACACAGGAACAGGCCAGGGAGAACAGAGGGAACGAGCTCACGGGGGCGGGGGCAGGAGTTACTCACCGCAGATAGAAGAGCACGTAGGCCTGCTGGTTCAGAACCACCTTGATGTTGCTGGAATGGACCAAGGAATCATTCATTTGGTACCACTGTCCGTTGCTTGCCTGAAGGAGCACAGGGTGTAGTAGAAAACAAAACAGGTCAATCAACATGCATCCCATAATCCCTAGTGTTCGTGCTAACGAACTAGCAATGACCTCACGTTAAAATGTCTAATGCTCGTCTGGCTCTGAGTGTGACTACGAAGTGTGCTTTGAATCCCTGTTCCCTCCTGCTGCCCCAGCAAATGTGAGCTTTCCCCTCTGAAGGGTATTTCGGGTCTGAGCAGCACAGCATCTCCCACCAATACACAGCCTTCCCGAGCCTCCACCAGGGCTCCAGCATTGGGCCCTGCAGGCAGCCCCTCTGGGGTCCCATTCAAGGGCAAGGACCCTAGAGCTCCTAGTGGGATGGGCTTCAAAGACATCTTTGCCCTCCATTCCCCAAAGCAACAACAGGCCCTGAACACGACGACAAGCAAGGCTACTTTCCACGGAGGCCACGCCTGGACCTGTACCAACGGGCACCGCCACGCAACGCAAGCGCGCCCACACGCGGGGGCACTGACCTTCACATAGCAGTAATAGTGACCCGCGTGGCAGCCATGGCCCGAGTGGACCAGGACCGCGTACAGCCCGTACATGACAGGCTCCCCGCTGCTCTGGGACATATACGGACGGATGTTCAGGAATTCCGGATAGCCCACATCCTGGAGAAAAAGCAACACAGCTTATTAATAAAGGTTCTGAGAAGGCCTGCAATTAAAAAGGACTGCTGAACTTCAGCTTGGCAGTTCCCAAACTCGGCTGAGCACAGACCACTTTCAAAATACAATACAGCTGTACGTACAAAATATGCTATCTTGTAAACATACAGCACAAACATTCTGCGGAACACCAGTTCGGGAAATGCTGATACAAGGAAGCCCCCATCACTGCCAGTGAGGAAGCTGAGGCTCTGACAAGTGCCTTGCCCCAAACCATCTAAGTCGGCTCTAAATACTTTTATGATACGGCATCTTCTATTAAAATGCCACTGTGCACGACACCTGGCGGCCTCAGTCGGGGGAGCATCCGACTCTTGATCTCGGGGTCATGAGTTCAAGCCCCATGTTGGGGGTAGAGAGACAACTTAAAGAAATGAAGTAAAATGAAATAAAATGCCATTGTACAAGAGTAAGTTTTTATTCTACCCCCCACAAAAAGCCACGTAACAGCACGTGGTGGATCAGAGCCCCACAGTGCAGTGGTCTCGCTCATTCTGAAGGAAACCTTGAGCTTCTGCATGGGGAACATGCCACACAGGCAGAGGTTGGCAAAAGAACCCAGTAAGACAGTGGGTCTTGAAGTTGACCGTGCACGACAACCACTTAGGGATTCTGCAAACATGCAGACTCCTGAGCCCTGTCTTCCAGAAATTTCCAGTCACTGGCTCTGGGGTGGTGCTGGGAACCTGTATTCCTTAAAGGCTGCTGACCACGCAGATCGGACACCACGGCGAAGGCTCACCTTCGTGATCTTCCCCCCACTGAAGTTGGCAAAGCGCTTGAGGGAAAGGGTTAAGACGTTGGATGTTCTGTGGATGGTGAAGCGCTTGCTGGCTGGGACCTTCTTCTTGCATCTGTGAGGAGGGTGAGAGGAAAGGGATCAGCTGGTGCTCTGAGGAACGCTGTCCTCATGCGGGCCCACAGCAGTGACAACTGGCTCTGTCGGCACAGGGTCTCCTTGGCTGAGGCATGTGCCGTCTGCATCCCGAGACGTGAACCCCTGCGACTTGAGTGAAGGGAAGCCAGCGTAGGGAACCAAGGACCAGGGGAAAGCTGGACACCGCAGAGCAACAAGGAAGCTCTTTCCCACGGAGGGCACTAGGTCGGATGCACGGGAAGCAGCCCTGGGACACGGGAAGGAACGCCTGGAGCGGGGCTGGCCGAGCGAAATCACTGTGAGTGAAGCCGGAAGACACGGAAGTGAGGGGGAGAGAGACGAAGGAAAGCAAACAGCCTCTAGGGCACGGAGAGACGAACTCAGAGAGGGGGAAAAGCAGTGTTTTGGCATGGGATAATCAATTTGAAAAGCGTAATAAAGAAAACTATTCTTTAGTGGCCGCAGCTTCTGGAGGGGCTACGCATGAACTACAGCCCCCACACGCTAAGTCTGTGCGGCCCTCAGGAGACCCGGGCCACCAAAGGCGGCTCATCTGGGACGCGGGCCGACAGAGGCTGGAGCCGATGGCCACGTGCGGTCCCCTCCCCGCTATGTGCCACCGCTGGGACCTACGTCCCCGGTGAGGAGCGCTCAGAATGGTGCCTGGCGCATCCAAGGGCGACGTAAATAGACGTCGGCTGGCAAAACCGCGGCTGCCCTTCATCTGCGCCTTTGAGAGCGTCTGAGCTCCGCAAGGGACTAACGGTGGCCCTGAGCAGGGACGGCCCGGCCGCAGCGTGGACCAGGCAGCTTACTCGAGGTCTTCCCCGACGGCGGGCTCGCTCTGCTGGGAGCAAAACGAAACTTACTTTGCACACATATAGGCGTTCTCTCCGCTCAGGACATCTGGTTTCACAAAAAGTTCCAGAGCACGCACAATATTAGCAGCTTGCTGAGGAGGACAAAAACGGAATCGCGTCAACGGAAGAAAAAGGCTGACTCAAGAAATGCCAACTGTAAGGTCTCTGTCAGGCTGAGGCAGCAAATCCCAGCCATCGGCCCGCATCCACACCGGCCTGCCGGCTGCTGCCTTCGGGCCCTCACAGGCCGTCCCACAAAGGAGCAGGGAGCAGGCGGTCGAGCCGGTTCTACGGACTTGGGGCCCGGCCTGGCAGGGCTCCCCTGCGCCCCGGGCACCGAGGACCCCGCCGCGGCTGCAGCCACAGAGAGCTGGAACAGGACGGGGGCTGGCCTCCCCAGGGCACGCGTGTGAGCGGCCCTGCACCCTCCATCTACAGTGTGCTCACCCCTCATGCCTTGGGACACAAAGCTGCGTTGTATCTTCCTGTGTTAAACGAGAGGAATGCGCACAGGGAAAAGGCTAGAAATCAACGTGCAAAAGCAGCGGCCCCTACTATAAGGCAGCAGCATTCCCAGTATTTCTTTCCTTATCTACCTGGGTAATATGCCCTCACTGGGTCCCCTGCTCCCCACCCCCCAGCCTCCCCGGCCGAAGGCAAACACGACACAGCGGAGCTGTGGGCCATACCCGGATCTCCAGCGCTATGTCCAGGTAGGGGTCGTATGTGTCCGAGACGCTCTTGCACACCGAGCACTTCACTGCAACGAAATACGGAGGTGGTGGGGCGGGGGCAGGTGCCCCCAGCACGCCACCCCCAGGTCTCTAAGATCTAGCCAGCCCTGGTGAACGCCGGTGTCTGGGGAGAGAGCTCGCTGGCAACCAGAGTGCACAAGGGGACGTCTATCCAACCCAGCGCCTTGCTGCCCAGCCCAGTGACAGGCCCCAGTTCCCAGCTGAAGGGCAGAGGCCACGTGTGAAGAACTAAGGAACTCAGAGAAAAATAATGCCACCCTCCTCTACCCGTGCTGGAAATCCTGCTCCAAACTTCCTCCCGGGAACAGCGAGCCCATGGGCAAGGGTGTGTTTCAGAGGAGGCTGGGGCCTCCATGGCTGCCCCAGCTCTGCCCGTCAGGAAGGGGCTCCAGCTGGGCATGAACTCCTAGTCTTTCCTGGTTAAGGTTCTCATCCTTGATAACAGGGTAGAGAAAACGTCTTCACTCACCACGCGATCTGAGATAGCCTCCAAAAATCTGATGGACCAAAGTAGTAGCCTGCGTTTGACGATCCAACCTGGAATGGAGACCACAGCCTTCAAGAAGAGGCCAGAAGGCAGCCCCTGCCCCTTTCATCCCCAGCCCAGCGCACCCTGGGGAAATCCCACCACACAAGTGTGGGTCTGACGCGCTCCCCCCGGTGCTCGGCGGACCCCCAGCTGTGCCCCGCTGCTCTGATGGGCCCGGGCCGCGCCCCACCACTGCCCCCTCAGGCCTTCAAGACCCCCGTGCTCTCCACAGGCACCTTGCCCTGCACTTCACAGGAAACGAGAGGCTGGAGAAACACCCCTAGTGCCCACCCAGTCCCAAGGACAGAAGCAGCCCCCCCACCTGGCACCCACCGCCCGCCCCCCAGCTCACCCCGCCTCAGTCCTGCATGGTCAGCTCCGCTCCTTGCTGGCTGTCACACGCCCGAGCCTCTTATCTGAAGAGGGGGAGCGAGCAGGACAGAGCCCCGCCTCCGCATCTTTTGGCAGGACAAGAGCTGTCACAGCGTGGGCTCCAGGGTCAGGCCGGCCTGTACTCGAATCCCCCAGCCCCGTTCACCAACCAGGAGCTGAGGCCACCCTAGGCCTTAGCTGCTGCTGCTCACCTGCCACACAGAGCTGCTAAGCTGAGCGCCTGCACCCCACAGCTGTTCATGTGACGGAGATTCTGGGAACACCACCCTGTCTCGAGCCTCTGCTCCTGGTGTCTGCCTGCGACCCACCGAGTCTGGCTCTGACTCTCGCCTCAGCGTCCTCCTCGGGGACACAAACCCAGCCCCGGACAGAGCAGGCGCTCCGTCGCGGGCATGCCCCCCCCAGGCCGGTCCCCTGTGCCCCCGGCTCTGCAGGGGCTTCTCCTGACGCCCTGACTCCCGGGCCCGGCCAGGCGCTCGGCGGTGCCGCCTCCCAGCGCTCTCCTCCCCACCCCCTGCACACACCGCGCGGCGCCCTGCGCGAGGCCCCCCTGCAGTGTGAGGCAATGGCCACGGGACCAGCCACCACAGTGCTGCCCACACTCCAGGAGCTCACTGAGGAGCGGAACTCCACACAGCAGGGGACCAACACAAGGGCGAGTTTCTGTTTTGCAAAATTAGGAAATGAAAAACCAACTGCCACCGTGTATTTTCACCACCGTTCGTCAAGAGGAGGGACATAATCTCAGCGCAAACTGGAAGCTTGTGGCCAGCCACAGGTGACGGCGGCTGCTGAGGTCCAGGTGGCCCTGAGCCGGCCCGGCTGTTAGAACAGGAGCAGCAAACCACCGCACAGAACCCGCTCTCAGGACCCCGAGGCAGAGCAAGCTCCAAGCTCAAACCAGCCGTAGGGAGGAAATAAAGCCAGATTCCAGCAAGACGTCTTCCGTACCCCTGCCGGAGCCCTGCTGGACATTAAGGCCGGTCTGGGGAGCACCGAGGCAGAGACCAGGGACTACAGGTGACCCCGGAGTCACCCAGTATCCCCAGCAGGAGGAGCCCGCCAGGTCCTGAGACACATGTCACACCAGGAGGCGTCCAGCGCTCAGGCTCCGGGATAGAAGGTGCCCTGGACTGAGAACCACGCAAGCCCCCAGGCCCGGGGCGGTGCCAAAGTGGCCTCAGTCCCACACGGGCACTGCTGGAGGGAAACAGTGAATGAGAATCATAGCACCTCAGCTGGTGAAGATTAGCCCCTAGAAAGCAAGCCCAAGGCAGATGAAAAGAGCCATACGAGATACCAAGCTGACCTAAAGACCCTCAGACAAGCGTTTGGGGAAGGAAAGACCACCGTAAGAAGTTTCAAACTAAAAATAAAAAAGGGCAAATGGAGAAAGTTAACTAACATGGAGGGAAAAGATGAAATCACGTCAGGAATGAAGTGGGAATTCCAAGGGGCCCAAGGGAGAAGAGATTCAAGTGAACACGGGGGAGGGGAGCGACACGGCGGGAAAGCAGCCGGAGGGGAAGTCGAGGAAAAGAGCTGCCAGAGAGAAGGGGGTCCCGCAGGAGACCGCCAATGACTGGAGACCCTGACACAGGCCGTTAACACAGAACCAATACCATCATGTGCTCTGGAGGTGACAGGACTCTGTGATGAGTGTCACCGCTGATGACAGGTGGGAAACCGCGTGGCAAGCACGACATGCCTAATTCATCGTCGTGCATTCTCAAGCCACGATACTCAAGCCGAGCTGATCGGGAGGTGACGGCGTTCGGATGCTAGTGCTCTTGCCGGCAGAAACCATTTCTGTGCACACGATGCTGGAGTCGCCATGTGCCGCAGATTCAAGCTCTCATCACTGCTCAGGTGTCTACCAAACTGACCGACAACGATCAGCTCGAAAGACGTTCCTAGTGAAACCATCAGACTTCAAAGAGTAAAAAAAGATCCTGAATCCTCTCAGTAAGGTCCCTGCAAGGTCAAGAGAGGGACTGGCCTCTGGGTTCCGAAACCCCGCATCGCCCAGCCCAGGCCGCCTGGGACACCCAGGCAGGAGGACAGGCCCCCCAGGCCTATTTAATGGGGGAAAGACTGAAGCAAAGGTGGAGACAAACGTGGGAGGAGAGAACAGTAAGGTAAGAGATAATGTCTAAGAGGCGGGTGAGAAAGGAGAGGGAAAGACAGAGGTGCTGGGCACCCCCCCAAACACTGACAAACAGAACCAGAAAAGAGGAGCAAGGCCATGCACAAGGGTGCGTGGAGAGTCATCACCCGAACGGAGATACAGGTCTTCCTGAGTACCACACGAAAGCTTAAAAATTAACGTGTAAAGGGAAACCAGAGAGAGGGAGAAACACAGCCAATGCGCCGTGTGTGATAATTAAAAACCTCAGCATCACAGCCAGGTCAAGACCAAACCTCAGTCGTCGCAATAAATGCGAAGGGGCTGAACTTGCTTATGAAATAAACGGGCTTTCAACAAAGATATGATGGTTGTGGGTAAATGACCACAGCCACGTTCACAAAGCAAAAGCTCCAGGAGGCACAAGGAGGCGGGCGCCCGTCAGTGACGGGACAGCGAGCACCGTCCCGGCGAGAGACCGAGGCGGCAGGAAGCGAGCACGGGCAGGGAAGGCAGCCGGCAGGTCTCACGGCAGACGCGCACCCGGCCACCCAGCCAGCAGGGCAGCACGCCGCGTCAGGGGCGCCGGGAACACGTGCGAACACCGGTGTGTACCGGGTCACAAAGCCGGTACCAGCAAGGTCCACAAAGTAGAAACACCAGAAATACTCTCCGCTCGCAAGTTCAACTAAAAATCTCTAACAAAACCAAAAGGAAAAAAAAGCCACTTCCACCTGCAAGTCAGATTGAATCATTCGCTGATGTGACCCTTCCTTTTTCTTTTTAAGATTTTATTTATTTGACAGAGACACAGCGAGAGAGGGAACACAAGCAGGGAAGCGGGAGAGGGAGAAGCAGGCTTCCCACGGAGCAGGGAGCCCGATGCGGGGCTCGATCCCAGGACCCTGGGATCATGACCTGAGCCGAAGGCAG